TCCAAAGGGTGATTCACCACCACTTTCTCAAGAGCAATTACAGTAATAAAAGTTCTGAGGAAGTTCTAATCAGTTCTGAGGAAGGGTCACTGGCTCCGCAGCATTAACTCTGAGTTCTCTCCACAGATGCTGGCAAACGTCCTGAGCTTTTCCAGCAACTTCTGCTTTTGTTTCTGATTTCCAGCATCCGCAGTTCTTTTGGTTTTTATAGTGTAATAATCGTTTGCCTTTGCAACACCCACATCTCATGAATGAATAAGAAAATTTGCTCTGGTTGCTATAGCGATGTTGTAATTCATTCAGAAAGAACAATTTAACTACACATGATACTTGTGGAAGATTTCCCCTCCCACCATATTTTCCAATGCGAGTCAGTCTGGTTTTTTTGCTCTCTTTATGTCTGATTTTGCCTCTCTCTACCAAAATATCCAGTCAGGGTTTTGTAAACTGCAGGATTTTGCATTGCAGTAGGTGGTCACTGTAAAAGTGGAGTGGGAAAAAGAAACTGTTTTCCCACTTTCTTCCTGTTGATAACCAGTTAGCCAAAACAAAACCATTAAACGTTTCGGAACAGGAAGAGGCCATTCAGCCCAAGAAGCCCATTGTTGACATCAACCACACAATTACCCATCTTGTCACCACTTCGATTAATTCACTCTCTCACCAAAGTGTGAACAACTCACAAGTACAATTCTCTTTTCTTTCACCTTCCCAAGATTAAGTATGATGTATACCAACGTCGTGCATGTCACAGTGCACTTTCCCATATGTTGAGACAAAGCAAATTTATTTTCTGACTTTTTGATCATATCAAACTTCAAAGAGCAGGTATGAAGATTGAATCTATATTAAACAGAAAAGAGAAAACAAGGCCGGCATTTATATAACGCCTTTCACAACCTCAAGATATCCCAAAGAGCTTTGTAGCCAACTTTGTAAGGTATATCTGATGTAGGAAACACATTAGCAAGGTTAGGTACAACAAGGTCCCCAAAACAGCAAGAAGTTTATAACTAGGTAAGTTCTTTTTTAAGTGACATTGCTTCAGGGACTATTATTGGCCAGAACTCCCTTATTCTTCTTTAATTAACATCATACAATCCTTTCCATCCACCTGATACAGCACATGGAGCCAGATTTAACATCTCATTCTAAAGATAGACAAGCCATTAAACAAGACAAAACTAAAACAAAGAACTGTAGATGCTGAAGACCTGAAACAATAACAGGACTTGCTGGAAAAACTCAGCAGGTCTGGCAGCATTTGCAGTGAGAAAGCAGAGTGAACGTTTCAAGTCCAGGGAAATGCTTCTTCAGAACAGAAGGGTGAAGACTTCTGAGAAAGGGTCACCTGGACTTGAACTGTTCACTCTGCTTTCTCTCCACTGACACTGCCAGAGCTGCTGAGTTTCTCCAGCAAGTTCTGTTTTCGTATTAAACTACACACTTTGGTTTTCAAGGTTATCACACAAGGCAAGGATCGGTACTGGGTCCACTTTTGTTTGTCATTTATGTAAACGATTTGGATGAGAATATAGAAGACATGCTTAGTAAGTTTGCAGATAACACCAAAATTGGTGGGAGAGCGGACAGTGAAGAAGGTTATCGAAGATTACAAAGAGATCTTTATCAGTTGGGTCAATGGGCTGAGGACAGGCAGATCAAGTTTAATTTGGATAAACGTGAGGTATTGCATTTTGGTAAGACAAACCAGAGGACAGAACATATATAATTAGGGTAGGGCCCTGGATAGTATCGTAAAACTGAGAGATCTAGGGGTTCAGGTATATAATTCTTTAAAATTTGCATCACTGGTAGACAGGGTGGTTAAGAAGGCATTTAGCATGCTTGCCTTCATTGCTCAGACCTTTGAGTATAGGAGTTGAGACGTCATGTGGAGGTTGTAGAGGATGTTGGTGAGACCTCTTCTGAAATACAGTGTGCGCTCTGGTTGCCCAGTTATAGGAAGGATATTATTAAGCTGGAGAGGGTTCAGAAAAGATTTACCTGGATGTTGCCAGGAATGGAGTTCTTGAAAAATAAAAACAGACTGAAAAGACTGGGACTTTTTCCCTGGAGCGTAGGAGGTTGAGGGGTGACCTTATTGAGGTTATAAATTCATGAGGTGCATGGGTAAGGTGAATGACAAAGGTCTTTTCCCTATGGTGGTGTTTTCAAAACTAGGGAGTATATTTTTAAGGTGAGGGGAGAAAGATTTTAAAAGGACACGAGGGGTAACTTCTTTATACAGAGTGTGGTTCACGTCTGGAATGAACTGCTAGAGAAAGAGGTGGATGCAGGTAGTTACAATTTTTAAAAGACATTTGGATAAGTACATAAATAGGAAAAGTTTAGAGAGACATCGGCCAAATGCAGGCAGGTGGGACTAGTTTAGTTTAGGAATAAAGTTGGCGTGGACTGGTTGGACCAAAGTGCCTATTTCCAAGCTATATCACTCTATGACTGTATAAAGTGGCTGAAACAACCCTTTGAAATGTTTATAGACTATTATTGGCAACTTTTCTATTTTATATACTCTAGCCTAGCACTTTTAACTTTAACTTGTGATCAAAATCTCTTTTTGTGAAACTGACCCAAGTAACTTATGAACATCAAACTCACGAGTGAGCTACAATCCAATTTGCGAGTAGCAGAACCGATCAACGTCTTTTTGTTGTCTACGATTCAAGCCACGATTTAACCTATTTTAAAAGTCGTGTTTATGTCCCACTGATCCCACAGGAATGGAATATAAAATGAAGCATTTTCAGGACTGCGGGTGTGGTATTGTTTGTGCATATTCCATATGGACATCTAGTTAAGACACATTCTGGAATATGTTATTAAATTATGCTTGAGAAATGACTGCTGTTAGCGATGCTCATGGCTGGATTTATTTATAGAGTGGACCTTGCTGAACCCAGCCCCTGGGGATTGGGAAGTTCCCTAGGCAAAAAGGTCAGGTTTTAGGGTTGGAGACTGCTATTACTATAAATTCTGGCCCATGGGACAGTTCGATGAATCTAAAGTGATGTCCTCAGCCTCTTTGACTCTCCCCTCGCAATAAATTTTCCTTGTGGAGCCACTTGTTGGGTCCACGGGAGAAAACGTAGCACTCAAATTACCCCTTCAGATACGTAGCACTCAAATTACCCTCCAGAAACACAGGGTGCATGAGAAGGATTGACAACTGTCCAGGGTTGCCTTAAGAGTCCCCAGTGATGAAATGTACATTTCCCGGACACTGTTGTTTTCCCCAGATGCCAATTAAAAAAAAACTACGAAAGATGGTCGTAAGGGCATTTTAAATAGGACACGGTGTTTCTTACTCCAGCTCAAGGCGAATCAATTGTTTATTAGGTGTAAAAAATAGTGACAGGGAAATACAGTTCTTTGGTGAGCAAGGTGGTTGGGATTATTTGATGAAATAGCAATCGCCAGGAATGCGGTCCATGAAAGTTGGCTTTGGGGGGCAGTGGGGGGGGGGGGGGTGCCAGGGGACAATTGGTAGGATTGGTTTACAAAGCAGTAACTACCACTAGCCTTTCCCCAGGGAGCTACAGTCCAGCCCGGGCCTTTCATTGGCTACTAGAGGTTCCTGAGCCCCCACACTCTCCACTGGCACAAGCATCTACCCAGCTGGTGCCGCTGAACTTGCTGCAGAGAGACAGGAGGTTGAGGCACCATGGGGCGCCTCTCTGCTTGGTGATGTAGGGGGGGGGATGTCAGTGAAGTCTACCTCATGTATCTACATTACAGTCCTCTCTGGTTGGTAAGTACCAACCTGCCTACAATAACTGAGTGACAAGAACAGTAAATCGACAATCTTTCCTGGCAGTGGGCTGTCCTTCAGATGTTTGAAAATGTTTCTCTGTCAATAAGAACATACAAACTAGGAACAGGAGGAAGCCCCTCAAGCCTGCTAGGCCATTCTATACAATCATGGCTGATCATGATATAGCATCCACTCCACGTTCCTGCCTGCTCTCCATACCCCTTCAACCCATTACTACTTAAACATCTATTTCTTCCTTACATCCCAGCATCCACTGTACTCTGACAGAGAGTATTCCACAGATTCATGACCCTTTGAGAGAAGTAACTTCTCCTCAATATCACAAGAACACACTTTAGACTTCTGTCTGTTCAGCTGGACCTTTTGCTAAGACGGTGCCCTATGTTAGGATTCACCCCGTGTTAGAATCTACCACATACACAAGCCCACACCCACCAATCCTTTACCTTGTTCCTGTTTGCTGGATCTGGTGAGGTACAAACTGGCTCTCACCCTCTAATCTCAAAAGTGCTTCACTGACTGTGAGGTAGTTTGCACCAGCATCTGGAGGCTGTGAAAGGCACACGGAATGCAGGCTCTGAACGGTTACAAACACAATTCACTGATATGAGGAACACCAGACTGAGGGGGTTTACAATGAATGACTAACGTAGAACTGTAACTGCTAAGCTGAATTGGCTCATTTGAATGCCTTGCCTCTGTCCAGCAAACAGTTGGGAGCTGGGTTTTGCCAGCACACACACACATGGCTTTGATTTCTCCTTGGCAATGCAGCGAGCAGGAGAGTTGGCAGATGAGCAAGCTCAGTCTGTATCTGTGCAGGAGAGACCTCCAGTCCCTACACCCTCCTGCTCCACCACCACCCCCCCTACACCCACACCCACACCCTCACCCTCCCCTTCTGACAGCTCCTCTGAGGAATGTGACCCAAGACCAAGAATCTGCTTCCAACCCAGGGTCCTGAGGGCAGAAGCCAGACTCTGGCTGCCCCTGAAGTACCTTGTCTAGACAGCGCAGTGCAGGCTGAGTCAGGAGATGGAGCTTTTACTGCATTGTCTGACTGCAGCAGCCGGAATGACACTCAAAAGCACAGACTGCAAAAGCACTTCTTCATTTCGGCTGGCTGTATATTAAACAACAAGTTAAAATAAAACAAACACACACACATCCACAACAATTCGTGGGTTTGTCCCACCCCTCTTACCTTTGTGACAGTCATGCAGAAATTATTTCTGGACTGAAAGGGGAGGGGGAGGGTTGCTGGGGGCTGACGAGAATCCTCCAGTGAGTAAGTAGGGGATGGTGCCTGTAGGAAACGGGGAGATGGGTTCGCTGTTGTACTGCTGCAATGGGTGAAGCGTTAGTAGCAGAGGAAGCCCGAGAACCTTTTTTTTGCAATCTGATTAACCCAGCCTAACCCGTGATGTCAGCTCTCATTTATAATGGATGAACAGTCCAATAGGGAGGCTGGCACCGGGAGAAATCTTGGAGGATGAGAGACACAGAGAGAGAGAGAGCTGTGTATGTAACAGCAAACAAACAGGAAGTGGACGCATTTCTTTTTGCCAAATCACCAGTGTTTTTCTTTCTTTAAAAAAAAAGCTCTTTTTTTTCCCTCCCCTCCTCTCTCTTTGTAACAATGCCGATTTACAGCAGCGATAGTTTCAAAGAGCCCAGGAATTAGAAGGGAGAAGGGAAGCAAGTGGAATGCACACAGGGCCAATATGATCCCACAGCTAGTGGCGCAGAGCTGGGGGATTGATACAGAAGCTGGTCAGACTGCAGGTTTAATCTGCAGCCTGCGGGTCATTTTCACCTAGCCCTGTCCGTGAGCGCTACACAAAGTTGAAGAGAGTCAGCCACATTGCCGTTCCCGATTTTTTTCCAGATTTCAGAAACTGGGTCGATGCACAACTGCTAAAAGCTTTTTTTTCTCGCTTCCAATCCCCTGAACAATAGATTGCTTTGTGGACCCCTCCAGCTGTTTGACTCATTGTGAACTACCTCTGGCTGCTGCTTGCACAATCTCCATCCTCTGGCTGTCGGAATTGTCCATGCTAAATGGAAAACCCTCCCCGCACGAACAGCCACAGGGGTAAATGCCACCTTTTATTCGGTCAGGGGATGGGACAGGATCAACTTGTCCAACCCTAGTTATGAGACAACCTCAGCACAAGCAGAAATTGCTGGAGAAACTCAGCAGGTCTGGCAGCATCTGTGGAGAGAAAGCAGAGTTAACGTTTCTAGTCCAGACATCCTCCTCCAGAAGTGAACCACATTGTTGTGGCTCTGGAGTCACGTGTACGTACATCCAGACCAGATAACAGCGGCAGATTTCAATCCCCAAAAGATATTTGGACTTTCTAAGATAAAAAGTAATTCTTTTTCACTTTGAAATGAAGAACAGAGAATGCATGCCCTTATCTATCATAAATTACCAGGAACATTTTAGTAGGATCACTGATGTTACCTTCCCAATAACGTGTAAGAATTACAGTCTCCATTGCCCTACAGGCTATAGGGCTGCTCTATCATTCAAGAAAGGGCTGGAGGTGGTTTAACCTGAGGGTCACCACACCTCAGGTGAGGGGAGAGGTTGAGAAGAGCTCCTCAGCTGGTGAGAAATTGAACCCACGCTATTGACAACACTCTGCATCACAAACCAACCATCCACCGGATTGAGAGAAAGTAAGAACTGCCGATGCTGGAGTCAGAGATAACACAGTGTGGAGCTGGAGGAACATAGGCCGGGCAGCATCAGAGGAGCAGGAAGAAGGATTTTTCTGAAGAAGGGTCACGAACCAAAATGCTGTGTTCCTCCAGCTCCACGCTGTGTGATCATCCACCTAACCGAACTTGCTGAGAGAGCTGATTGAATATTCCAGGAAATTATAACTCACTGGCTAAATGAGAAAGGGCTTTCATTTATATTGAGCCTTTAGGACATTCCAACTTGCTTTACAAACGATGAAGTGTTTCTGAAATGTATTCACTGCTCCAATGGGGGTATTGTGGCAGTCAATTTATACACAGGGAGCTCCCAAAAGTAGGAATCAGATGATTAAAAGATGGCCTTTGTTTTTGGTGATACTGATTGAGGGCTTGGTATTGGCCAACGCTCTGGGCAGGACTTTCCTGCCTCTTTTCCAAACAGTATCAGAGAATTTTTCATGTCAACCTGAGGGGACAGGCATAGGGCTCAGTTCAATATCTCATCCAAAGGAGAGCACTTCCAATAGATGGAGCATGTCCTCAGTACCGCACTGGCTGTGTTCACTAATTGATACGAGAGTGATTGATCAATTTTCAAATCATTTCTCTCTCAATATTTTAGTCTGCTACAATAACAACAACTTGCATCAATACAGCACCTTCAAAATAGAGGAGAGACAGGCTCATTGGCCTCTTGCACTGTGACAATTCTATGATTCTAAGACCATAAGGTGTAGGAACAGAAGTAGGCCATTCAGCCCATCAAGTCTGTTCTGCCATTCAATGAGCTTATAATGGATCTGATAATCCTCGTCTCCACTTTCCTGCCTTTTCCCCATAAAATTCCCCATAACCCTTGATTCTCTTAGTGATTCAAAATCTGTCTATCTCAGCCTTTAGTAAACTTGATATATAAGCAGGCTTGAGAGATCCACTGCTCCTAGTTGTTATGGTCTAATGACACAGCCTCAATAGCTTTTCTACAGTAAAGAATTCTATAGATTCCCTCTGAGGGAGGATTCTGTGGAAGTCTCAAGGTTTTTAACTCCTCCATTGAGATAAAGAGTAAAGGAATGTCAGACCATCTATGTCCTAATATGGACACTGCAATTCTGGTCTTTGGGCACTGGATCAAATTTATACTGCCTGAGTGTGCAGCACTGCAGTTTTCAACTTTCTTGTGAATCACGAGCAGTCAGGGTGATTCACATTGCTTTCTTCTGCTCTTTGTGTCCCTATTGTTGTTAACTCTTCACCTGCTGCCAGTTGTATTGTTTCATAGGATGTGGGTTTCACTGGCAAGACCAGAATTTGTTGCCCTAATTGCCCTCGAACTGAGTAACTTTCTACACCAATACAAAGGGTAGCTGAGAGCCAACCACATTGTTGTGACTCTGAACCAGCCGAGGATGGCACATTTCCTTCCCTAAAGCGCATTAGTGAATCAGATGGGTTTGTCTGACAATTGATGATGGTTTTGTGCTTACTATCAATGGGACCAGCTTTGAAATCCAGAAAATGGAATTCAAATTCCACCAGCTTCTATAGTGGGATTTGAACCCTTGAATATTTACCAGAGCCTGGTGGATTACTAGGCCAGTGACATTACCATGACATGACCATCTCCCTATCAAACTGTCATGACCTGGTACTGTAATACCATTGTGCCATTATGCAACATGTATCAGCAGATGTCCTTTTGTGCAAGTTATATGGCGCTATATCCTGGCTTCTGATCAGGACTTTGGCTTTAAAGCTCCCAAATTTCTATTAATTCCATGAATTATTGCGTTGCTCAGAAAAAGCTCTCACCTCCTTCATATGCACTAAATTATTTAGACTGCCAAATGAGGCAGCCAAGTTCCCACAGAAAGGAATTAAATTCATCACTGTTTAATTTTGCTTAAATAGATCTGGTTTAAAAGTGGGAAGCCTTTGTAAGATATGGCTGAATATTGGGAATGGTTCCACTGAAACATTGTCAATTGGAATTTTCATGACTGAGGTTGATGGAATTTGTTCAGAGCTGATATTGGGTGCATTGAGCAAAGCCAGGTGAATGCCGAAAAAGAATGAATGATGCACTTTCACTGCACAGAATCACACATCCTCAGAGAAAAATATGCTGATAAGAGATTTAATGGAGGTTTTCAAAATCATGAGCGGGCTGGAGTGACTAGATGGGGAGAAGCTGTTCCCAATTGTGGAAATAAAGAGAATAAGACGTGTACATTTAAAGTGATGTTGAAAAGAAGCAAGGGTGATGTGAGAAATAAACTTCCACACAGCCAGTAGTTAGGGTTTGGAATGCACTGCCTGGTAATATGATGGATGCAGGTTCAATTGAGGCATTGGATGGTTATTTGGATAGAAATAGCGTTCAAGGATAGGGGGAAAAAGCAGGAGATTAGGTAACAGAACTAGTATAGGCATGATGGGCTGATTGGCGTCCTTCCGCACTGCAATAATACTGTGATCATCAGTCGGCTTGCCTTTACATACCTTGCAGCTATGATTCAGCATCCCTAGGGTGGGAAGTGGTAGATTTTGCAGAAAAGCACAGGCGCTTTCTTAATTCTGCACGTTTTCCTCAACTGTTCAAAGTGCTCTGTGATTTTCTCCTGTCAAAGTTATTTATGGTTTCGCGTCCAATTTATTGAAACAATGAATTACCAAAAATAGGTTCTTCCTCCATTTCCTTCCCTTGTGTGCACTCCAAGTTGATTCATGGGAAATATTACTGACTAATTCAATCAGTTTGTCCGCTGTGCAGTTCAAATAACAATCTATCTGCATTCTTCAGTCACAGCTGCTTGGCTTTGCAGAGGAACCTGTACCCTAGGATTGAAAAGAACCCTTGAAATGAGTAACAATATTGATTATTTGTTCATTTGGCAGTACTTTGCTTTGTTTTCACTACAGTTCACCAAACATTGAGTGTGCAATATCAGGAACAATTTTAAAATGAGTTAGAGGGACTTTGAGCTGAATATCAGCTGAATTAATATCACTATATACTGTCAGAGTCTTCTCTCAAAGGTGTTGCCTAATACTGGAGTGCAGCTCTGTACAGACTAGTGTCCCAGCCAAGACAAAGTTCCTGGGAGAAAGAGAGTTAAAAGTGACTGATAGAGTTACAACTCAACATTACAGTGTGCAAACAGGCCATTTGGCTCATCAAGTCCACACTGACCCTTTGAAGAGTTTTGTGAGTCAAGGCACTTTGTACATAACACGCAACAGTTTGGTGCAAGTTGGTAGTTTTATTCATTGAAAACTATTCAAATGGTTCCTTCAGACCCAGAAACAGGACAATTGTGTCAAAACATGGTTCTGTCAGTTCTTCTGAATGGTTCTGAAATAATTCCATGAAAGCCAGGATCCCGTTTCCAAGTCACCCTTTATTTACACATGCATAGCACGTGATGCTGACCCAGCTAGCTCAGAGCCAGCTCCTAGAGTGAACAGAACCTCTGACACTCCTGTATATATCTGTCAGCCAGGGCTCCCTGATTGGACCAGATTAATAGCCCCAATCAGGGAACTCATACTCTATGAGGTCCACCTGGCTGACCTCATTCCAATCGCTACAGGTTGATGCTGGGGTATTCTGTCAGTCT